CAGCTCCATGAAGAATGCCTGAGCAGTTCGTTGAGGTCCCTGGGTTCAACACCTGGCACCAGAGGGTGGAAGGGAAGGAAAGCAACTAAGAGCACATGTAACACGTAGACAATGGAGTGATGCCAACTAGAGCTGAGGGAAAAGCTACTGGTAATCAGATTAGTCAGCAAGAAAACCAGACCACAAAACAGTGAACCATGTTACAAACACTAGTTCTAATTGCTACAAGGACCTCTAAAGCTAGATAGAGGTAAACAACTTTAGTCTAAGGAGAGCCATTAGGATTCTGCTTCATAATCAAGACAGTAGAAGAATTTTCTCCGAAGTAACCAATAAGACAAGAATAGGCATTGCAACTCAAACTGTACTAGAGATCTGAATGAACCAGAAAAACACGATGCATGGATCAAAAAGAGGAAAACTATGGTCATAATTCACAGACAAGGCTTTCTCTGTAAAAAATAAAAAAGGAAACTTACAAATTTCGAATCTCATAGGATAATGAGTAGAACAACCCATAAAAAAAAAAAAATCAACAAATCATCTATAAGAGTAAAGTAAAAATCAAAACCCCAACACTAAAAACAAAAGATCTGGAGCACCAATGAAAAGACACTTGGACACTACAAGCCTCATGTCCCTGCCCCAGACCCACATGGAAAGAAGATAACCAACTACTCCAAGTTGTTCTCTGCCTCCACATGTGTGCATGTACACACATACACACATAATAAACAAAAAGATAACTTCTGATAATCTGAAAATAAACTTAGTAGTTTAATAAAATATTTTAATGTGCTAGGGTAGCTGAGGAGGCAGCTCCATCAGTTAAGTGTTTGCCAAGCAAGCCCAAGAACCTGAGCTGAATCCCTGGGACTCACATAAAAGAGTCAGGCATTGTGCAGGCATATGACCCCAGGAACAATTACAGAACCCCAGGGCTCAGTGGCCAGCCAGCCTGGCCTACTTACTGAATTTGAGGCTGGGGAGAGAATCACTCTTAAAAAACAAGATGGGGCTGGAGAGATAGCTCAAGAGTTAAGTATGGTGATATCTTGCTTGTACAAATAAAGCTTGTGTGAAGATCAGAAGATGGGGCTTGCCATTAGTTAACCAGGATAGCCTCCAAAGCCACAGAGAACCCCTGTCTTGAAAAACCAAAAAAAAAAAAAAAAAAAGAAGAAGAAGAAGAAGAAGAAGAAGAAGAAGAAAGAAAGAAATTTCTTAAAGAACACAAGAATTATACTATATAAGGAAATTTAGAACAATCTAATATAAAAACTACAGTTGCTAAGAATGGTTGCAAGTCATGAGCTAGGGTAAAATAATTACAAAGCACAAACAGTATGCCAAAAACATCAGTACCCAAATACAGAGAAATTCTGCAAATCAGAAAAGGTTCCTCTGATTACCCTTTCTGCAGTAAACATAAGAAAAGCCAGACTCAAATGAGGTGCTCTGCAGCTCGGCAGTGCACACCTGGAATGCAAGAGGCCAGAGGTTCCAGCCGCTGCACTTCTAAAACCAAAACCGGGATATACCAAACAACAAATGGCTATAAAATATCTTTAACACCTGCTTTTAGACATAGTATAACTTTACCCCAAATCAGTTCTTCACATGAGTTGTTTTGAAATCTTATTCCATCATTTGGTTGGGACGGCTTAAACTGATGACATTTTAAAAGCTATGTGTGGCACCGTGCTAAAGAATGACAAAACCAACTCCAGCCCAAGTCCACTAGAAACCTGAGAGGAAAAGACACTGTGCTGAGGTGCTCTGGCCAACTTAGACTTCACCTCTGCCAAGTGTCAAATCTCCTAACTAAATGAAACAGAGGCAATGCCTTAGTGTTGCTGTGGTAACTCAAAACAGACTCAAAATAAAGGTGAGGATGGAGAGACAGCTGAGCAGTTAATAGCAGTGGTCGCTCTTCCAGAGGACCATGGTTCAATTTTCAGCACCTACATGGTGGCTCAAAGTAAATACAGTTCTAAGAGATTCAATAGCATTTTCTGATCCAGGCACTGGGCACACGGTGTGCACATACACATATACACAGACAAAACACCCAAAAACATAAAATAAGAGAAAATAAAATATACATATATACTTAAAGGTATATAAATAATAGCCTTGATCCAAAAAGAAAGGGCATTGGCAAACCTGAATGAAACACAGTTCCAATTCATAGCCTATTACAGAGCTCCCTCTGCTGGCACAGAGGAAATACAACAGTCCAAATACTGACAATTCACACAGGAATTTGACCTTCACTACTGAGATCAAGAGAAGTTCTTCTAGAATTCTCACTGAAAAATAACAGGAGAGTCTGCCCTGCACGTATTCTACAAACTAAAAAGAATTACCAATATGTCTTCAGACAAGTACAATTAGCTAATGTCCACTCTCTCCAGATTCCAGCTAAGAGCTGGGACAGTACCTAATGGTTTTGTATATACAGTATTCTATCTATAAATACCATGTTCAGAAAAATTCTTGAATATAATTTATCTATTATTTTTAATTATTTTCTTGGATCTGGTTCCTAGTAGTGGAATTTACTGGGTCAAAGGTTTGACCCTTTTTTTTAGGACTGATTTTTAATTATGTGCACATAGCAGAAGGTCTGTTTATGTGTGAGTACAGGTGTCTGTAAAGTCTAGAAAGGATACTGATTCCATACAGCTGGAATTACAAGTGGTTATGAACCACCTGATGTGGGTGCTGGGAACTGAACTTGGATCCTACAGAAGAACAGCGAATACTCTTTAACTGTGAGGCAATCTCTCCAGTCCCATACGTAAACTTTTTAAATGCCGGATACACAAGGCATTCCAGAACTTTTATCAATTTATGAATCTACCAATTACATTACCACTCCTTTACAGCCTCAGAGATAATGAATCTGAGCTCCCAACCAGACAAAGGAACTATTCTGCCTTTGAAAACAACAGGTTATTGATTACCATGCAAACCATGGCCTGAAAGGTGAAGAGTAGAGGAGCAGTGTGAGGACACTGCCCTGCAAATGTCCCTCTCAGCCACAAGAGGCTGCCCTGAGTCCCTCAGCTCACCAAGCTCTTGGTGAGGCTCTTGTGTAAGAGCTCCCTCTGCCGGAGCACCTCCTCCACTGCTGCCTGCGGCCAAGCTGCCTGGCTTTCCGTAAGGAGCCCTTCTTCTAGACTTTGACCCTCAGCTTATCCGGGTAGCAGAACTCATTTCATCCATTGAACTTGATGGCATCTAGGATCAACTCAGAGATACAACTATGAATCAGTCTGTGAGGGCATTTACAAAAAGGAGTGACTGAGGGAAGTCTCCCTGAGAGGAGATAGCACCACCTGACAGCCCAGACACAGAAAGGTCTGAGGGAAAAGCAGTCTTGCTTGCTAGCCTGTCTCTGCTTCTGACTGGCACACCCCCATCCCTGCTGCTGCTGCTGCTGCTGCGGCCACTGTCACTGCCGGCCCCCACTGGCATCAGACCCCAGTTTCTTGGGTTTTTCAATATAGACTAAAGACCAGGGACTCTCCAGGATCTTCCAGGCCTTCAGGACTGCTGAGACCTCCAGCTTTAGGGACTGAGCAGCTATCTGGTTCTCAGCCTCTCCAGTCTACAGCCAGCCACAGTTAGACTATCCAGATCCTACATTCAAGCCATTCAAGTAGGGCCCCCTTTGCTCAGATTTAAAGCCCCAAGTCTGCTTGACCACTTCTGTTTTCTTCCCTTTAATTGTGCACCCTCCCTAAAGGTCAAAACCAGGGCTTCACATGAGATTGCCAAGTGTTCTACTAGCCAACAAACTTGCTCTGTCTATAAAGGAACAGACAGAAAGCATTTTAGGCCTTGCTTTCACAGGTACTCAATTCAGCCTTTTCGGTTCAGAGGCACCAAAAGCAACAAAGGAATGGCTATGGCTGTGTTCTAGTGAAGCCTTACTACCAAAAGCAGGCAGCAGACTAGAGGCTGGCTTGCTGATCCCTGGATTATAAGAGAGACATAAATACTCTAAGCATTACAGAAAGAGACGACCACAGTAGCAGACAATAATCATAGAAACTAATCTATCAATCAAATAACAGAACCATCCAAACTAGTTCCCTTAGAAACCAGCCCCTCCTTCCTCTAGGCTTTCACAAAAAGAACCCCCAGGCAGTGACTGTGCCTTCCTGTGGTACTGCTCTCTTGCAGTGTCATCTCCTGTGCTTTGCCTAAGTAGTTGCCTTCCTAGTCTGCAATCTATGTGGGCTTGCATTTCATTCCTGAATACAATGACAAAAACCTGGAAACACCAAGGCTAGACTCTGATCACAGGCAGCAGCTTAAGCCCAGAAGTTTCAGGGAAAGAAGCCTGGGCACCATCCAGAAGCGAAAGACAGAAGCAGTGGGCGGTGCAGCTGAGTGGCAGAGCACTCACCTAGCACGTGTGAGGCTCAGGCATTTGATCCCCAGCAAAGAAAAAAAGGGGGGAGGGGGGCGAGACAGGCAGAGTAGAGGGAGGAAGAAAAGGAGAGAGAGAAGAAAAGAAAGCAGGAATGGAGGACAGGAGGGAGGGGGAAGGGAAGAGAGAGAAGGAAGGGGATGGGAAAGGATTCTTCTGAGGAGACTTGACAGAATTTTAAGCCTGCTCAGTCACCTTTGACTGACTGTCTTGATTAAACAGATACTATCATGAAAATGGACTGAAGATATGCACAGCATTTCAAATTTCATTAGGGATTGAGATGAATTATGTATCAAAACAATGTACATGCCCTCCTCCAGGAGAATCCTTCAGTGACAACATTCAATGAGAGGATAGCCACTGAGGTTCAAAAGCAAATCCCTTCCCACAGTCCCCCTGCTCCACACAGTCCTCCAACACAGCCTCCCTCCTACTGAGCATGTATCTCTTCCTGTAAGGCACACAGCTATGGCAACAGAACAACAGTCCCAAGACTAAGACAGCATGGGCCAGGAGAATCCATCTCCGATCAGTTAGTGTGTCAGAGCCTCACTTTTCATAGTTCCTTCCTCTTCCTCGTCCTCCGTGTTGATCACCATGGTTCCCAGCTGTGACGGCAATGTGTCACTGTGCTCAATCATAGTGTTGGCTCCATCACTCATTGTACTGGCTACTCGGACAGTGCCCATCTCATCACCTGCAGCTCGGACCATTGTGCCAGAGTCCATTTCATCCTCTTCCTAAAAATGAACAAAATCGCAAATGAAGCCAACTTGTTCAAAGATCTTGAATTTTCTGAATTACTGTTACACATTTTGGTGCAAACATTCTGGGATTTGACACTTCTCTAGGTTGTAAACAGACCTTAGAGGCTGAAAAGCACATATCTACCAGAGATGACATGACTGTTCCTTCTCATTTGTCTTCTAGCACAGACCTAAGAAGCCGACACAAGCACCCTTGGAATCTCCAAAGTTGTGAGTGACTTCAGAATATCATATGAAAATTTTAAAAGATCTTTTCCTTTAAAAGGCAAAATCAAGTCTCAAAATGGGGAGATAGCTCCCCCCCTTAGCCCTCCCCAAAGAAAAAGATAAACTGGATAAAAGATATGGGGGCAAAATAGTAAAATGTAAGTGTCTTGAGAAACACTGAGGTAACAGACAAATGCAGGCCCATCAAGGGTCCAGCAACACTGAATGCGACTTGGGACAAAGTGCTGTTGGAGTCTCAAGCTCCAAGCTGCCCCAAACTAACTACTTATCCCACTTAGGCAGCAATCATGAG